TGGAATAAACTGGTAATTTGGGGGATTTCTGTGGAAGCTGACCACTTCCTCAAAATGAATCTTTGTTCTTATAAATAGATACAATTATGTTCATATGCCGGTAGATGATACAGCAGTGTGTGTGTTGAATAGAATCTCTCATGAGTAGTTTCCTCAATTCTTTGGAATTTCACTCTTGAATGTGATCAGTGGAGACAGTTCAGTCTGCAAAGTATTATTTCTTTTATTTTTTAGTTTAGCCTTACTTTCATGAGAATTTTTTAATATTTTCTCTTTTCTTTTTTGTTATTAAATCATAAACACCTAGATCATGTATACATTAATGCATGTATGGGGTACAATGTGCTGATTTCATATAGAATTAGGAGTGTTTACATCACACTGGTTAATATTAACCTCATCTCGCTCACTTAATTATTGCGTTAGGACATTTATACTCTATACTTAATAAATCCGGTGAGTACCCTTGCATTATGCACCATTGGTATGATCCCACCATTTACCCTCCCTCAATCTGACTTCCCCCTCATCCCTCCTTCATCATCCTGGGCCACAGTTGTGATCTATTCTTCATATGAAAGGATGAGTGATTGTAAATTGGATTCATAATGGTACTGAGTACATTGGATATTTTTTCTTCCATGCTTGAGATACTTTACTAAGTTGGGTATGTTCCAGCTCCATCCATGTAAATGTAAAAGAGGTAAAGTCTCCATCTTTTTTTAAGGCTGCATCTTTTTTCCATGGTATACATATACCACAATTTATTAACCCATTCATGAGTTGATGGGCACTTGCGCTTCTTCCAGCCAAGATGGTAAAGTGACTTGGCTATTATGAATTGAGCTGCAATGAACAATCTGGTGCAAATATCTTTGTTACAAACTGAGTTTTGGTCTTTTGGATATACACCTAGTACAGGAATTGTAGGATCAAATGGCAGGTCTACTTTTAGATCCCTGAGTATTCTCCATACATCTTTCCAAAAGGGATGTATTAGCTTGCACTCCCACCAGCAGTGCAGAAGGGTTCCCTTTTCACCACATCCACACCAACATCTGTAGTTTTGGGATTTTGTTATGTGAGCCACTCTTACTGGAGTTAGATGATATCTCAGTTAGATGATATCTCAAAGTGGTTTTGTTCCAGGATGCAGTCAAATTACTTAGAAACATCTTGATTCACGTTGTATCTTGCTTTTAGGATCTTTTAGTGGGACTAGCCCAGCACTCAGTCTAAGATGAAATATTCTTTATCGCTGAGTCAAGACCCTCTGTATATTCTACCCAGTGCCCCATAAATCATGAGACTTTCTGTTCTGGCTAGTGGGAGCAGGCACTGTTCCATGTCTTAATGAATACTATTACCTCTAGTTCTCATGGGTGGGCTTTTTTCCCAGGCTCGAGTAGTTTCCTCACATGTATGAGTATTGATCAATACTAAATTGAGTTCTTGAGGGGATCTCTTTACTGAACATATTTAAAGCATACCATTTGATGAGTCAAGACACAGATGTCTGTAGATTTTTCTCTTTGTGGCATTCTCCTAATTCTGGTCTTCCTGGGTTCTCAGCAATGTTTCTTCAATTCAGAAAGTTCATCTGCTAGAGCCGCCTGCATTTCCCCTCCTTGCATCACAACTTGGAAACTCCCTCCAGGCAGCAAGCTGGGGGAAATCGTAGGACTCACCATGTTTGTTTGTTTCTTTCCAGATCACTGTCATTCATTCGGTGACTTGAAAACTGTGTGTGTGTATGTATGTGTGTGTATATATATACACACAGTTTTATTTATATATCTATAAACTTGAAAGCTGTATATATATATCTATACACAGTATATACATACACACATTATATATACACACTTTTATATATATACATGTACACATATATAGAGAGAGACAGAGTCTGGTTTTTGTTGTTACTGTCATTGCTGTTTCAGATGGGAGGATAAATCCAGTCCCCACTTTACCATCTTGGCTGGAAGGAGAAGTCAATGTACTTTTTAAGGATAATCAATTTTTTGTTAAACATTTTCTGAAATTTTGGTCAATTAAGCAATATAGAGATAAAGCAAACTAGTCTGGCGATATGCCTTTATAAAATCATGTGGGTAGAGTAACCATGTCATATCACTGGGGTTGTCTGGTGGCACAGACGAAAATGTCTTCTTTCGTTTACATGTAGGATCAAATGATCAGGACCCAGAGATTCACTTTTCAGCTCCACTTCTGAATATGGGCATACATTTGTTAGACAATAATCTGGAGGATGTAGGCATGTGCAAAACTTCTGTGTGATTCTCATGATTGATCTGGCTGACTTATCAGTAGAGTGCAAAGCAAAGTCTCTCAACCTTAGTACTATCAATGTTTTAGGACGGATAATTTTTGTTGGGCCAGTGAGGTGGCTGTCCTGTGCCCAGAGGATGCGTAGCAGCAACCTGGCCTCTACCCACTAGATGCCACCTTCTGCCCCAGTTGTGAGAACCAAAAACATTTCCAGAAATTGCCAAGTATCTCCTGGCGGCCATATTGCCTCCAGCTGAGAAATGCTGAGGCAAACTAAATCTAAACCTTGAGCTTTGGGAGAACAGAAACTCTATTATAATTATTTCTATGTCCCCAGCACTCAGGGGAATGCATGAAATTAATGGCTGTGGAGTGAACAAATGAATGAGTAATGTGAATGAATGAATGCCTTGTCTCATAGAACAAGTGTTCTTAAATGCCATTGTTTTTTAACTGATAGTAAACTTGCATGTATTTATTGTGTAAAATACTTTTTCTAGCATAATATGCTAAGTTGTGGATTGACTAAATCTAGCTAATTCACATATGCATATGCAACTTCACATAGTTGTTATTTTTGTGGTGAGAACACAATATCCATTCTCTTACCACTTTTCAAGAATCCAATACATTGTTATTAACTATAGCCACCGTGTAGTGAAAAAGATCTCTGCAACTTAAGCCAACTAACAGAAATTTCGTATCCTTTGACCGCTATCTTTCCAATCTCCCCAAACCTCACTGGCCTTAATAATTAGGGTAGTGCTTGTTAAAACAGTTTCTCAGCTTCGCTAGACATGAGGTGGGACACAGGGATCTGCATTTAACAGGCACCACAAAGATTTCTTAACCAAAATCTGAGGAATCTCTAAGTCAGACTATAATACTGAAAAGTATTTATGAGAGGGGAAAATGATACTTATTACCCTTACGCCAGTTACAGAGTCTCTAGCCATTTTTATCCACCTTGTTCAGTGAGCATGTGTAATTCCAGGGATAGGTAAACAAATATCTGACTCTTCCACAGATCTAAGAAGAATTTACTTAAAAAAAAAATATTCAGCTTAACCTGCCACTGTCCAGTACAGTGCCATTTCCCATCATGATGTTTACTTTGGGATCAAAATCAGCAGAATGGCAGCTGAGAATTCCATTTGGCATTTTTCAATGAGAGCTCTGGGTAGAACTGTCAACCGGAGGCTGCAAACAGAGCAAGTTGTTGAAGTGGGTTCTGTCTCTGCAACAGTCACTTCTTTTCTGAATTCGATTGGCTGGAGCCCTTCAATTCCAGAGGCGGATTTCGATTGAGGTGACCGTGGACTATGGTTTCTACGGTGATTACTTCAGAGGGTTGAAGGATCAGGGAAAATCACTTTAAAGGGAAGGACTTTAATGATTACATATTTCTTTTTTAAAATTCCAGTAAGTTTTGAGTAGGCAAAAAGAAGGCTTGATTTCTCAATATATGCAACTGTCTTAGGAAAAGATATTTACATATTTTGGGTTGGTTTAATAACTTTCCAATAAGACAGATTGCTTTGATCTTGGTTTCCTTTATTCCTGTAAAGCTCTTTTTGGAAAAATTTTGTCTGATCTGTCTAATGAGTAGTAATTGTCCACACATCCAAAGGCTTTTGGAAAAGTAAAGATCCATTGAGCACTTCACAGACTTACTAGTAACACATCAAGGACTCACAGAGGTAGATGCTATCTGGGAATTAACACTTTAGCAATGAAAAGGACCTATAGGACTAAGTGCCACTTATTCACTCTAATAATGATGTCATTTAGATTAAGAAAAGGCGTGTTTTTGACACATACATGGCTCAGAGCTGTCCCTTCGCACAATTCTAAGAGCATCCTCTGTGTGGTTGGCAGCGGGATTCTGACTGGCTGTCTGAGGACAGTCTAGTTTGGAAACGGATTTCTCTCTGAAATGGCTCCAATCTAAAATTTTGCTATGGGTGATATTCAGAACACTTAATAATCAGTATGATAATAGAAATTAATACATTAATAACAATTTTAATTTTTTCTTCTATTCTCTAAATCAGCTAAACAATATGGCTTACCAAGCAATATGAATTGTGAAACTTATTCATTACCTCATTGTAATAGTTTTAAGTGACCTGATGAGTTTTTAAAATTGCAGATATGGTCTTTTGTTTAGCCTGTCACAGGCTAATTCATGCCCTTGTCTAGTTCACAATTTGTGAAGGAACTGCATCAAATTCTTCCAAAAGTTCCCCACTCAAGTGATCGGGCACGTTGCCTGCTCATCACAGGCAGGTCCACACTGGACGCCAGTGCTTACCAGGTGATCTGGACTCAGAGGACCTGGGTCTCAGAACAGCACCCACTTCCCAATCACCAACCGCTCTGACCGGGCTGCCACCTGACGATGCTGGCTGTCACTGGAGCAGCAGGCAAGCACTTTGCTCCCTCTTTCTGCCACAGTTATGTCTATTGACTCAGCACCTGCTGGGGTGGATCCCAGGCTGGGTTACCTGACCCTGCAGTTGGGCAGCAACATCAGTTGACTTATAGTTTAATAAGTAAGAAACTGTACTTCTTCTATATATTTTTTTTTTGCAGTTTTGGCTGAGGCTGGATTTGAACCCACTACCCCCAGTGCCCTACTCCTTGAACCACAGGCGCCACCCAGAAACTATGCTTCTTCTTCTTCTTTTTTTTCCAGTGGTAAGACAAAAAATATGGAATGCTTCATGAATTTGCGTGTCATCCTTCTGCAGGAGCCGTGCTAATCTTCTCTGTATTGTTCCAATTTTAGTGTATGTGCTGCTGAAGTGAGCACCAGAAACTGTCCTTCTTATTCAAGATGCTGAATTGTCTCAAAGAATCTAATGATCAAATAGCAATTACATTAAAAGATTATCTAGCCCATAAAAGATGGCCTGAGATGTTAATATATTCCCTGCCTCCATCATTACCTAGGTCACACTGCAACAGGCAGCCATTTGTCAGCGGTCAGAGTGACATTCTATAGCAATCAGGTGAATTAATAGATTGGCATGAGAAATTATATTATTAATTATATTCAATTCTTATTTCAGCTACTGTTATATTCTTTATAACTGGTACCCAAATATTGAGTTTCTAACCTCCCCAAACCTGACTTGAGTCCCTGAGGTAGTGCGTAGGCTCCATCCTTATATCCCAGCCAGAGTAAGATGAAAGGTAGTTTAGTCGTTAGTTCATAAAACCCAAAGCAAATCTACTGAAATGGGAAAACATCACATGTATTTTACTCAAAATTTGAGTGTTTGCTTCTATTTCTATGGAGAAACAGGAAATGATGTTTCCTGGAACATGGAACTGGCAACCATGAGTCCCCGAGTCTTGGGACAGGTCTGTTGCCCAGGCTAGAGTGCAGTAGTGCAAATGTTTAAATGAATGAAAGACCCCTCCTTAAGCTGCAGGTGAAGGGATAGAGGAGTAAGGGAAAGTGCTCCGGAGTGAGCACAGCATGAATTTTGGAGCCTGGCAGACCCTGGCGAGAATCCCAGGTCTCTCTGGCACTCATTTATCTGGTAGCATTGGGCTTGCCACTTAACTTCCATGGACCTCGGTTTCAAAATCTAGAAAATGAATATTGGGTAGTGGAAATAATATTTGTATTGCAGAGTTTTCATTTAAATTATTAATACAGTACATAAAGCTCAAGGCACATAGTAAGTGATAAAAATGCAGAAACTTTATCCATCACATTACTGGTCACATCATTCACTGAAAATATTAATCCTAAAGGGTAAATACTTTCAATATAGCTTGAACCAGTGGGAAAAAAAAGTAAAGTGAAATTAAATCCTATTATATGTTGCATAATTTTTGAGTTGCCTGTGAAATAGCTCTAAGAAAGGTAAAGCTTTCTGCAAGGCAGCTGAGACTGCATCAATCACTGCTTCTTTCTGTTAGTGAAGAGCTCTGTAACAGCTCAGATAAATCACACAGTCAAGTCAATATGTAGCTTTGCTTTGTGAATGCTCAGATAAGCACAGGGGAAACTTCAATTAAGTCTCCTCTTTTCCAGAAGAAACGGTAGTACAGTGCAAGATACTATATGAAGCTTCATTTCTCAAGACTTCTCATTTTGGTGTTTCTAACATGGTATTCGCTTTTTTTTTTTTTTGCAATTGCTTTACACAGGGCAAGACATTCTGGTGATCCAAAGAAATGACCATCCTTTGGAGAAAGAACTGGAAATGATGAGGCCCCAAGTTTTAGTCCACACCGGTTTGTGTCCTGTTCCCCGTTTCCTGATTAGCCTCCAGCACTCAGGGCTGGCTGTTCCCTGTGCCACGGCTCAGTTCTTGAACTTTTGCTGTCTTAATCCTGGAGATGCAGTCTGTGTCTTCTCCACTGGGAAGCTGACCCTACTGGATGACCAAGCAGGAAAACTAGGGATTGTCTTATCGGCACTCAGTTTATTACCTCCAGTCAGTCAAGTTTTTGTACATGGAATGGAAAGCATTAAAATTAGATGGATTATTAACTAGTCCAATACACTCCTTGTATGGATAAGAAACTCAGAACTAGAGAGTAGTAACTACTTAAAAAAGTCACAGCAGAGTTAAAAGTACAGCCAATGACCCTTCCAGGTCATATGGGTAGATGCCCACTCTTTCATAGACTTCTGTAACTTAAAGGAAACTGAGAAAGTGAAAAGGGGTATCACTATTTAACTCGTTGCTGCCAAAATTCAAGCTACATATTCCCATAAGAGATTAGTCATAGTACTGGCATTTTCATACAAAGGATAGCTTAGTAAGATAGGTTTACATGTACTTATACATTTATTAATTTGTAACAAGTTATATATACCGGCTTATGAAAAGTAATTAACTCATAACATTTTTTTTTTCTGAGACAGAGTCTCACTCTGCCTTCCTGGGATAGAGTGCCATGACATCATCATAGCAGCCTCAAACTCTTGGATTCAAGTGATTCTCCTGCCTTAGCTTCCCAAGTAGCTAGGACTATAGGTGCCTGCCATAATGCCTGGCTAACTTTTCTATTTCAGTAGAGACAGGGTCTCACTACTTGCTCAGAACTCTTGACCTCAAATGATCCACCCGCTTTGACCTCCTAAAGTGCTAGGATTACAAGTGTGAGCCATTGTGCCCAGCTAACTCTCATAACTGTTAATAATAAAACACACATCATTAAAATGTCTATACTGCCCCAAATGATTTACAGATTCAGTGCAATTCTCATCGAAGTACCAATATCTGATTTCCTAGACCTAGAAAAAAATAATCCTAAATTTCCTTTGGAACCAAACAGACTCCGAATAACCAAAGCAATCCTAAGCAAAAAGAACACATCTGGAGGCATCTTATTGCCTGACTTCAAATTCTACTCTATGTCTACAGGAAACAAAACAGCATGGTACTAGCATAAAAATAGAGACACAGACCAATGAAGACAAGTAGAGAACCCAGAAAGAAAACCATGTAGCCATGATCAACTGATCATCAACACAGTGGATGCAAATACACACTGGGGAAAGGAAGCTCGGTTCAATTAATAGTGCTGGGGAAACTGGATAACCACAAGTAGAAGAATGGAACAGGACCCCTATGTCTACCATATACAAAACTTAATTCAACATAGATAGAGGACTTAAATGGAAGGCATGAAACTATAAAAATTTTAGAAGAACTGTGGGAAAAATCCTATAGGGATTGGCCTAGGCAAAGAATTTATGACCCCAATTGCAAATATAGCAACAACAACAACAAAAATAAATGGAACTTTGCTTCTGCATAGCAAAGGAAAATAATCAACAGAGTGAATTGACAACCTACAGAATGAGAGAAAATATTCACAAACTGTACGTCTAACAAAGGACCAATATCCAGAATTTACAAAGAACTTGAACAAATCAGCAAGAAAAGAAATCAGAAAGTAGGCAAAAGACATGAACAGAAGCTTTTCAAAAGAAGATAGGCAAGTGGCCAACAAAACATATGAAAAAAATGCTCAATGTCACAAATCATCAAGGAAACACAAATTAAAACTACCGTAAGATAACTACCTTACTCCTATCAGAATGGCCTTTATTAAAAAGTCGAAAAAAATTAGACGCTCATGTGGATGTCGAGAAAAAGAAATGCTTATTCACTATTGTACAACCGCTATAGAAAAGGATATGGGGATTCCTCAAAGAAATAAATGTAGACCTATCATTCAATCCAGCAATCCCACTGCTGGGTCTCTACCAAAAGGAAAAGAAGTTATTTTATAAAAAGCAAACAAACAAAAAACAAAAAAACCCTCACTTGATTTTACTGTACCATCACTCACAATTGGAAAGATGTAAAACCAACTTAAGTGCCCATCAATTCATAGTGGATGAAAAAATGTGGTATATAGTATACATGTAGTACCAGGGTGTACAACTCAGCCATAAAAAGGAATGAAAGAACTTGGATGGAAATGAAGACCATTATCCAAAGTGAAGTATCTTAGGAATGGAAAACCAAACAGCACATGTTCTCACTAATATGTATTTAAGTAGGAACTAAACAGTGGGTATATTAATACATGAGCACAAAGAAGTACAAAGGACATTGGAAACTAAGAAGGGAGGGGGTGGAAGGGACCAGGAGGGATAGAACTTACCTACTGGGTACAAGGAACACTGTTCTGGTGGCGACCACATCAAAATCCCTGAAGTAAGCATCAGACAAGGTATCCATGTAACAAAAACATGTATACCCCCTTAATATTTTAAAACAAGAAAAAAACAATAAAGCATATATAATAGAATAGTTAAACAACAAAGATGAATAAAAGAGATATAGCATATCAACTAAGGAACAGGGGAGATCATTGAGTCAGAAAGCTGGAATAAGACAATTGCTATGAGTATTAAATTTAACTCTGAAGTTCTTAGCAGCCAATACTAGAAAGAAAACTAATGAGTTAATAAGTCACCTGTTTACCTGTTTAAAAGAACCAAGCCGGTTCTTCCAGTGAGACAAACTTTCCTGGCACTTAATTATAAGAGGACTTCATTGTATGGGTTTTTTTTAAAAGATCCTGAATAATGCAACAGATACCTTTGATACCCTCACGGAGAAAATGCAGAAATGGTCTTCATGGACCACGTTGAAGTATCAACTTGAGTAGATGTACAGTACAAAATCCTGTGAAGACATTTTTGTATGACATGTATAGATTAGTATAAGGGAGTTGGCACAAAGAAAGCAAACCTGGAAAGGGAAATGGATGTGGTGGGCAGGTAGCAAGTTAAATCCTGGAGGTTTCCTTTGAAGCTAACAGAGTGAATGTGAACACCTGCACACATTGTGGAAGTTCAAGTTCCCCTTGGCAGGCTTCAGTACATCCTTGTGGAGAATACTGAGCCCTCATTCCTAACCCTGTAACCTGGCGATGTGGCTACCTTGAGTGCTCCAGGCATTTTGGATGCTACTTTTCTTGGCAAGTTTACAAAACTGAGAAACTAGGGATACAGCACAGTTAAAAATCACTTGTTTCAGGAAACGGGTGGAGTTGTGGTAGCATAGCTTACCAACACAAGAAACTTTCTACTTACACAAGCTACATGGTTAAGAGCTACCATTGTTGAGCCTGGGAAAATGGAGTGTGGGGTCCTGTTGGGCACAGGAGCTGTAAGTCAAGGTGGCTGGGAGGGGCAGAGGGGAGAGAGCAAGTCCAGTACACAGCCTCTTGTGCCAGGTCCACGCCTATGGGCTCTGAGTAAAGCCCACGTTCTGTATGTGCATCTACTTTAAAGTCATAAATCAAGCTAAGCAATGATAGATAAAA